TCACTGGTTGTCTAAACCAATTCATCAAAAATAAGTAAATCACTCTTGTATTAGTCACTACATATATGGTACACAGGTAAATCACTATTGAGTTCTGGTACAAAAACTCATATATATATATATATATATATATATATATATATATATATATCTCTCTCTCTCTCTCTCTCTCTCTCTCTCTCTCTCTATATATATATATATATATATATATATATATATATATATATATATATATATATATATATATATACACACACATCCCAGGCTATGTACAATTATATACAGAAATTAGATACAACGTGTATACTGTGTATAAGTTGATAAATGTTCAGATGGATCCATTCCTTAGTAACTCTCTTAACAAAAAAGTGTATATACAGGATTGAAAAAAAATTGACAAATTGAAAAAAATCTAAAGATGCAAAAAATTAAAAAGAAAAAAAATCGGAAAAATTAGAGAAAACGAAAAAGAGAAAAAAGAAAAATGACTAATACTTTGAAAGTTCACTGTACATGTGATAAAGAGATAGTTGGATCTCACCAAATGAGGGTTTTGACCATGGGATTTTTCAATAGCTGTAAATAGTCCGATGGTTCTCGAATATGTAGAGAGTAACATCAATGTCCCTTGGTCTAGAAGCGAGAAAGTGCACCAAATAAATTATCTTCTGGTTGCTGGGCATGTGTATCCGTTAAGCTGGTCTCACTAGCGTCCTGCGTAGTGTGTAAGTGATCGCCAGGCTGCGCGCTCTGGACGGACTGTCCCTTCAATGGCCCCTGAGCACAAGATTGAAACAGCAGCATATAAATACGAGTTCTGGCAGCAAAGCGGCCCACTTCCGTGTTAGCGTCATGACGTTATCATGCATCAGTACGTCATGCGCAATGACATCATTAAAATCAACTTTATCAACAATGTTATACTTAACACAATACTTTATCAACAGTATTACACTTGACACAATATGCTTTTGTAATATACAAGTAACATGATATTATCAAGGTGTCAATCAACATAAATATGGAGACTTAGCTGAAGGGGGAAGGTAGACAATAAAGTTAAGGGAACTGCACATAACTAGAATATATATTGAAACTCCAGAAAGCCATATATAGGAGAGATATTATCCTGGAATTCCCAAAGTAAACAAGTCCTTGCTGTAACAAGGGGTTCTGTTAACGGCCACAACTAGTTTATAGTTAGCCTAAGACTTAGTGGGATGAAAAGGGTATTAACAGAGCTTGGTGGAGCTGCCTACTGTAATAAGTGGCACTAAAAAGGGTTATATTCCATATGGCACATTAATGTATGATGTATGAGTGAATCACTATTCACCATGAATGGTACAAAACTATATTACCGAGAATCTAGTATGTCCCAAAAAGCTAACCACTGGAAATCACAAATGTCCACTATGGTTATAACTCTGTGCTAAGTAGGTTCAAATTAGAGTTAATGGAAAAACATATATAATAATAGTCACTGGTTGCTCACCTGTAGCCGAGGTTCAAGAGTTAAATAAAGAATGAGAGAAAGGCTATGCTGTAATGTAAATGAATAATGTTTTAGGAGAATTATGAGCCAAAATTTCAGAAAAAAAAATAAAAGATAAAAAATAATAATAAAAATATATATAAAAAATATATTATAAAAATTGAAATAAAAAATGAAAAGGACTATTGCTAACAAAAAATATCACTAAGATTGAGGCTCAGCAGTTGTGCAGTGTCCCCAAGTGTCCCGGGATACTCAATGCGAGGGACCCTGGATAATTTCTGCCAGGTAGACGACCTGTGTAGGTCAAACTGTTGCCGAGAAAGGGGATCGGACCAATGTTGGTCTAACGGGAGCACTGTAGAGAGCACAAGGTACAGTCTGAATTGACAATTAAACAGTGGAGTTTAAGTTCACAGAAAGTGCTTTAAATTGCAGTCCTCATTGAGCCCTGTGGGTGACAGTGTCTCCAGGATACTGATCCACTTGGTTTCCTTCTGTAGAAGGAGTCTCTGTCTATCACCACCTCTCCTCAGGGGAGGTACTCTATCGATAACTTGAAACCTTAATTGATTAACTCCATGGCCCTGTGTCTTGAAGTGTCTGGCCACTGGATCCTCACTGGTACCTCATTGTAGAGCTGCCCTGATACTCCTCTTGTGCTCCCCTATCCACTCTTTGACGGGTCTGATGGTCTCCCCCACATATACATACCCACAAGGACACTTTAGGATGTACACTACAAAGTCGGAATTACATGTATAGAAACCATTGACCGGGAATTTTTTGCTGGATCGGGGATGAACAAAGTGTTCCCCTTGATCACACTGCTACAGTGTGAGCAACCTAGACAAGGGAAGGTACCCTTTTTGGGTTCAGAAAAAAATGTGGTCTGCCTTTTTGAACTGCCAATGTCTGATTTAACTAATAAATCTTTAAGATTGGGTGCCCTTTGATATGAAAAAAGTGGGGGATTCTGAAATTCCAACGGCAATTGTGTATCCCCTGCAAAAAGTTGCCAATGTTTCATGATAATTCTGCGTATATCTCTGTTGATCGGGGTATGTGGAGATATAAATGCCATTCTGTCCATCCTACTCCCTTTAGCTGGACCATATAAAATGTCTTGACGTTTCAGATTCTGAACCCTTTCTCTCTGTGTTTGTATGGTTTGTGCAGGGTAACCCCTTTCCATACACTTCTGTGACATGAAGTCCAATCCTGTCATCACTTTCTCTTCTTGTGAGATTATTCTTTTGACCCTAGGTAACTGACTGTATGGTAAACCTTTCTTTAAATGTGTGGGATGGTAACTCTCATACATAAGCAAATTGTTCCGGTCAGTTGGTTTAATATAAAGATCACTATATAGTTGGTCATCTAGTCTACACACTTGGACATCTAAGTATGAAACTGTCACCTTATCACAGTACATGATAAACTTGATGTTAGGGTCTTGTTCATTTAGTGAGTCAAAGAACTCCTGTAGTTGGGCCCTACTGCCACTACAACATACGAACACATCATCAATATAACGTCTCCACACCAAACACTTGGTGTAGAGGGGATGATTGTAGATGCACGTCTCTTCCATATTATTCATATAGATATTAGCGTATGTTGGGGCGACATTAGAGCCCATGGCTGTGCCCTTTATTTGTTTATAATAATTATCCCCAAAAAGGAAATAATTTTCAGTTAGTATGAATCTCAGGACTTCAATTATGTACTTCCTAGTGTCTCTTTGCTGTGCTAAGTTCGGGTCCCTATCCAGTGTCCAGTCTATGGCATCCAACCCTCTCTGATGGTCTATTGAGGTATATAAGGATTGGACATCCATTGTCACCAACCAGAAATCCCCTTCTGGTACTTGGATGTTGTCTAATAGTTTAAGAAATGACGTAGTGTCCTTAATATAAGACTTTTGTGAAGGTACATATTTAATGAGGAATTTGTCCAAAATTTCAGCAGGTTTTTGCAATATAGAGCCTGTCCCACTTACAATGGGCCTGCCTGGGGGGGGGGGGTGGATTTTTGTGGATTTTGGGGAAGTATAAAAGACTGGTATCTTTGGATACTTTACGTTCATATAATTATACTCTCCCTCCGAAATGATTCCTTTGGATAAAGCCCACTTATTCAATGTATCTAATGTTCGTTTAAGAGTGTGTGTGTCTGATCTTGTGGAATGGGTAAATAGTTCATATTGTCCCTAAGTTGTGTTTCTATTTCTTTGATGTAGTATATACGGTCCATGATTACAAGTGCACCCCCCTTTGTCGGCTGGTTTGATCATGATGGATCGATCCATCTTTAAGTTATTAATGTTAGACCAATCTCGTTTAGTGAAATTAATATTTGCCCTATGTGTGTGATTGTGTTTTTTTCTTAATTTGTAAACATCTCTTTTCACCAAATTAGTGAATATGTCTATCGAGGCATTCACACTATGGGAATCCATATTAGCTGCTGGAGGTCAATTTAATTCAGATTTCTTGCTAGTTTAGGGGGGTTAGGTTGAGGATGATGGGGTAAGAGGCTATTAAGAGCAAATGATAAGAGGTGGTGATCTGAGAGAGGAAATGGAGTGTTGCAGAGATTAGAGATTGTACATTAATGAGAGAAAATAAGATCAAGGGCATTGCCAGCTACATGGGTGGGGGACATGGCCCACCATGGTAGCCCAAGGAAGGAGTTCATTGAAAGCAGGTTTGAGGCTACTGAAGACAAGGGTAGGTTAATGGGGTTGTTGAAGTCCCCAAGACTTGGGGATGGACTAAGGAAGGAGAGGAAGTAAGGAAGCCAAGCAGCAAAGTGGAAGAGGGGAACCAGGGGGACGATTGATAACGGCAGTGTTAGCAGAGATGGGTTTGAAAAGGCGAATTGAATGAATTTCAAATGATGAGAAAGAGAGGGAAGGGTGGGTGGGTAGAGGTTTCAAGGAGCAGTGAGGTGAGATCAGAAGCACTACACTACCACCTTTGCTTTCAAAGTGTCTTGGGTTGTGCGAAAATTGAAGATAGAGAGGCAGGGGTAGCGGTGTCAGAGGGAGAGAGCCATGTTTCAGTTAAGGCTAGTAAGTCTAGGGAATGAGAGATGAAAAGGTTGTGCACAGCAGCAGGGCCGGTGCTAGGATTTTCGACTACACAGGCGAAGATGCATTTTGATGCCCCCCCCAAAAAAAAATAAACAATGCATCTTCACCTTTGTGTCTCGTAGCCCCCTTTTGAATTTCTTACCCCCATTAGTGTTGCATATCCACTCTCTTGAATGTCTTATCCCTTTGGCCCCTTTGTGCCTTATACCCCCCTTTAGTGTGTCTCCTACAACACCTCTTATGTATTTCTTACTTCCCCGCCAGCCCCTATCTATCTCTCTTTTTCTCCCACATAGACATACATACAGGCAAAAATACATACATGCACAAATACACAAACATACAGACACACAACCATACAAGCACACAGACATAATTTTTCAGGCACACAGTCACAAAGATATACAGACACACAGTCATAAAAGGCACACAAACAAACACAGTCATACAATCTACACATACAGGTACATTGCCATACAAACACAGACATACATTCATACAGACACAGGCATTCACAGAAATACAGACAGACATAAAGAAACATAGAGATAGGCATACAGAGACATACATACACAGACAAACAAAGAACCCTGCACACTGATACCGTGTAAATGCTCCGGCCATCAACAGTGGTGGATGCTCCGTGTCAGGCGGACATCGCTGGATCCACCAGTAAAGTCTTCAAAAGGAATAAACGCAGGCAACACTCCAATAGTAAGGATGGTATATGTATTGGTAGGTGAACCACCCCATAGAAAGTGTGATGTTTCAGCTCATGCAGCTCTGCTGAGCCGAAACGACGCACTTTCTTTGGGGTGGTTCACCTATCAATAAATATACCATCCGTACTATTGGAGTGTTGCCTGCGTTTATTCCTTTTGAATACATACACACAGTCATACAGAGACATACATACTGTATGTCTCTGTATGACGGTCTGTGTATGTACACAGGATGGCTAAAAGATAGATCCCCATCTGTCGTGCAACTTCAACAATGCTTTGAAAGCTGGGGCTCTACCGATTCCCCATGCTTGCAGGATTGTATTTAGCATGGAGCAGTATTTGTGTGTTTGACTGTAAGCATGTGTTTGTATGGAGTATGTTTGTATGATTGTAGCGGTGTGTTTGTATGTAGTGTTTGC